AAGATACAAAAAAAATAACAACAGCAGTAAAGAGAAACAAACCAATCTGCTGCTTAATTTATAAACTGGAGAGTGAGGAATACAGAGGAAATATTACCACAACGAGGAGGAAGAACGCCACAAAACACCAATAAACAATGAATCGTGTGCACTCCTCGGTCCGGGACAGGAGGACCAGAAGGACATTAAAACATTAATAATCATAAATTGCTTTTGTGAAGGAAACCTGGGATGTCATACACAACAATAATTAGAACTTCCTTCCAAGTGAGGACATAAATCTGTACAAACCTCTGCGGAGTGCGTGCAAAGGATCTGCAGAAAAGACGAACGCTAACGACCCCCATCCATGGAAAAGAAGAAAAAAAATATTTTATAATAATAACAGAAGCCACACAATCTTCAGCACATAGCAACTATTATTATTATTATTATCATTTGTTATTACCTGTTAGTATAGCTCCAACATATTCCATAGAGCTGTGCAGAGAACACTGAGCTAGTCACTTCAGTCTCTGCACCAGGGGAGCTTACACTCTAATGTCCCCATCATAAGTCACATGCTATAATTATACATTTATATATCTCTGACATAATCCATAATGCTGTACAGAGAGCATTGAGCCGGTCACTGCACCAGAGGAGCTTACACTCTGCACCAGAGAGGTTGTGCTGCAGGTTGCTCTCCCTCTCCAGACACTAGGGGGCCAGGCCTGCTCGCCTGGCCCCAGAAACATGGCCTCTTCTGGGCTAGGCTCAGACCATGCTCCCCCTGAGGGACCCAGCTTGCCTTCCCATACTTCACCAGCACCTGAAGACCTTGGCTGTGGCCCTAAAAGTGGGGAATCCCTCCCTGTCTTTAGAGAGCGGGTTGCTGATTATCTGGTGAGAATCGCAAAGGAGGAGGAAAAGTTGGTGAGTCTGAAAACTGACTACAAGAAGAAGAAAGTTCTCCATGACAAGTCATGGAGCAGCAAGAGGCAGAGCATGAAGCCGGAGATGAAGGGTTTGGAGGTCGCCATTAAGAAGCAGCAGAATCTGGTAAAGACGCTGAAGGAGAAGAGCGGAGCTTTCAGAGAAAAGTTCCGGAATGAGGAGAGGTTCCGGAAGATGAAGGGAGACTCCGGTAAGGATCCAGCATCGGCGGTGGCAGTACGGGTGGAGAGTGAGGAGGGGGTCCTGGATGCTGCCCCTGCTATCCCATCCACCTCAGGATCTGCTTCCTGGAGGAAATGTCAGCCTCTGCCCCCCTCCCTCCACAGCAAGCTGGAGGAACAGCACAGGAGGTAGAGGAATATGGCGGAGGACTGCTAAAGTACATTGAGGAATTGGAGTCTTCCCTAATTGGAAGAACTTTCCGTTTTTCTGAGGACTCTGAGGATGAAGATGACGGTGAGGACTCTGTACCTGGTCCTTTAAAGGAGAAAAAAACAGAAAAGCCGCGCTTTATTAAAAGTGCCATTTTGGACTCCAGTGTGGACAGCCATGTGCACTGCAGTGTTTTGGAGGGAAATCCTCCTGTGTGTGCACAGAGCTCTGCAGGGAAGATGGCTGCTGTGCCTGCAGGACTGCACTCTGCTGGGACTGAGGACTCTGATACCAGGAACCCTGGACTGTGGACTCTGCTGGGGGGAAGGTAAAGGGGGGATCTGACACACTTGCTGGACAACCTCTGCTGATGGCTGCAAATGCAGCAGAAAATGGTGGGAGGGAAATTGTCAGCAGCACTCTGAAAGGGGTTGCTGAAACCCAGGGGAGAGTGACCAGGAGTGGAAGGCTTTTGCCTAAGAGGAGTATGTTGGGGGAGGGGGAGACAGGAGCATCTGGTGTGAGTGGGTCTGCTGGGAGCAGTAGTGCCACGAGTGAAAGGAAACATATGGATGATAAGAGTGCTTGCAATGCTGGAAAGGGGAATGCCTGTGTGTTGGTGGATGGAGGGACTGCTGCTGCCTCTGATGGTGGTCTGCAGAGCGGGGGCTCTGAGGTTCCTGCAACCAATGGGCGGGGTGCAGCTTTAAGGTCCACTACATCTAATGCTGCAAATAAGACCTATGCTGGGGCTCTGGCTGGGAGGAGGGGGTCACATCATGTTGTCAGCTCTGGGGGGAGGTCTGCTGCAGGTCTGCCATCTGCACCCCTGTCCTTCAGGAGGAGGAATTTGGTGCAGCTCAGATGGGAAGGTGGGGGTGCTCCCCCGGTCAGGATGTCGGTGGTGGACAGGATTTTGGAGATGGGGTTTAGGGCGGATGATATCTTCGCCTTGATCAGCCCTGTAGGATCCTCTGAATATGACTGTCCTTTGTGCGCCCCGAGTCTCTGGATATATTCTGGGAGAAGTATGAACACATGTATAAGGGTCTGCCGGAGTGGAAGGGACTCGTCCCAAAGGTTGTCTCACGCCAACCTCTAGTGAAGACGGTCACCATTCTAGTACGGAATGAGTCCATTCCTTCGGCTGACTTGGCTGTCTGGCTGAGGAGATTTGGGGAGCTACTTGCACCCCTGAAGGAAGATTGTGGATGAGAGAGGGATATGGACTGGTGGGTGGTCGGTGCAGATGAGGTTGTATGTGTGTGGGAATGTGGTCCAGCATCTGCCCTCCTCAGCCTTCATTGGGAAGGACAGGATTTGTGGTGTTCTACCCTGGACAGCCCAAGCTCTGCAATAAGTGCGGTTCTCGGGGTCACTTCGCCTCCTCATGCCCAGAGATGAAGTGCTCCCTATGTCAGGATCTGGGGCACCTGGCTAAGGATTGTAATATCATCAGGTGCAATCTGTGTGATAAGGTTGGCCATTCGTACAACCGGTGCCCTGAGGCCATGCACAACCAGTCAGCTTTGGTGGAAGAGTTTTTTTCGTCTGGACATGGAGGAGGCAGAGGAGAGGGAGGCTGTGCCAGGGGTCCCCAATGTCTCTGTCCCTGTGGTCCCAGTGTCTGATGGTCCCTCTAATGTGTCATCTCCGTGTGTTGTGCCCCCTGAGTCAGTGTCCGTGGATGTTGTGTCTGATCCTCCTGTGTCAGTTTCCCCAGAGGTAGTGGGGGCTGTGGAGGGAACTGGACCAATGTGTATGGTTGCACCGACCCCCCCTCCCCGGCGTCGGAGGGTCAGAGCGCGTGAGGCGCTGGGGGGTGGAGTGAATGATGGTGGGGGTGTTGGGGTGAAGGTTTGGGGGGACTGCTGTGGTGAGTGGAGAGAGTGGGGTGGATGATGTTGTTGGTGATGGTGGAAGGGAAGGGGAGGGGGCTTTGCGGGCCGGTTTATCAAATGATGATATGGAGTGGTTGGAGGCAAAAAGGAAGTCTGGGAAGAAGAAGCGGAAGAAGGATGTGCCTGTACCTGACCCTGGGAGGGTGGAGGTGTCAAAACACATTTGAAGTGTTATCTGAGGTGGAGGATGAGGGATCTTCAGGGGATGAGTCTCTGGTTTCCATGGAGGAGGAACACAGAGGACTATGAAGCGTGTAGGGTCTCCAAGTAGGGAGGGGGGTAAGCAGGCTAAGAAACGGGTACCTCGATCATCCTGATGGCGGTTCCCACTCCTTTGAAGGTGGCGACCATTAATGTCGCCAGCATAAAATCAGTAAGCGCTCGTAACATGGCCTTATTTTTGCTCAGCAGGTTTGATGCTGACATTTTCTTTTTTGCAGGAGACCAGGTTGTCCAGTTTGGGGGATGTTCATATGGCGAAGAAGGAGTGGAGGCGCGGCCCCTCCTTCTGGTCTCTTGCGGCCGAGCCTTACACTGGAGTTGCGGTACTTTTTTCCGGCATGGTAACCTGTCGGCGGATTATTGAGGTAGAAATGGGGAGATGCATGGTCTTAGACGTCTCCATGGGGGGGCAGGACCTGCGCCTGATTAACATCTATGGGGCCCCAGACAAAATGGGACAGGAAATGCCTCTTCATGAAGATCAAGCCTTTCCTTTTTACAGCCCAGCAAGTTGTCTTCGGTGGTGACTTTAACACCGTCACTAGGACTAAGGACAGGAGAGGGACCGGAGTCAGGCTGGACTGTGACGGGTTTTTTTTAAACAAAATAGCTAGAGAGGCAGGTCTGGTTGATGTGCACATTCATTGCTGCCCAGACGACACGGGATTCACTTTTCAGAGAGGTTCCAGTCAGAGTAGAATAGATAGGTTTTTTTTAAAGGGGAACTCCGCCTTCTCGGCACCAGTGTGTCAGGCGGTAGAGTTTTCCGATCACTGTATTCTGTCTGTGACTCTGAGTGGCCCCGATACACCACCTAAGGGGAGGGGTACCTGGAAGCTGAATTCGGCACTCCTGGACGATGAGAAGGTGAGTCAATCCTTTGAGGATTTTTTTCAGGCACAGGTATCAATCATGGACGTTTGCAGCAGTAAGTCTGAGTGGTGGGAGCTTACAAAACGAAGGATCGTTGGGTTTTTCAAGGCCATAGGAAGGAATAAACAGCTTGATAAGTATGTCACCTACCAGCGTCTGCGGAGGAAGCTCGATCGGCTTGTCTCGAATAATGGAGATCCAGAAGCGATCTCTGAGGTTAAACTCTTGCTCAGGCAGTGTCAATATGACAGGCATGCCTCTTTGGTTCTGGAAAGGGATTATGGGAAATATCACTCGCCCGACCCTTACCAGAACTGCAAACAAGGTAGAGCAGTTAAGTCAGTTGTAGGCCTGGTTGACAGTACGGGTTCCCTGACAAAGTCCAAGTCAGGGATCCTGGAAACCTCCAGGTCATATTATGCTGACCTCCTGGGTAGGAGGGACCTCGATCGAGCGAGCATGTCGGGTTTTCTGGACTCTACTCCAGGACTGGGAAATGGCAGTTCTCTTGTGAGTTTGACAGAGGACATCACGGCAGATGAGGTGGTGAAAGCTATTGATCAGCTTGCCATGAAGAAGTCGCCTGGGCCAGACGGATTGACAGCCGAGTTTTATAAGCACTTTAAGGTGACTCTGGCCCCATATTTGGTGGAGGTGTTTAATGGCTGTCTGAGAGAGGGTTCGCTCTCTCCCTCCATGCGACAATCTGCAGTGATTCTTCTGTCAAAGGGTAAGGATTCCTCGAGAATTGAGAATTGGCGGCCCATTAGCCTTCTCAATGTTGATAGGAAGATATTGGCAAAAATTATTTTCTGGCGTTTATCGTCTGTTGCGGGCAATTTACTTTCTCGCCATCAGCACTGTTCGGTTCAGGGAAGAAGCACTTTTTCAGCGGTGTTAGCTGTCCGGGAGGCCCTGGAGCGGTGCAGGGCTGCAGGCTGGGGAAAGTTCCTGCTGGCATTGGATCAGGCCAAAGCTTTTGATCGAGTCAATCATGAGTACCTATGGCTGCTTCTTGGCAAGTATGGCCTGGAGGGGGGCTTTATCGATTGGCTAAAGACCTTATACAGAGGGGCTGAAAGCTTCATGCTTGTGAATGGTTGGATTGGACGACCCTTTGAGGTTGGCTCAGGTGTGCGTCAGGGGTGTCCTTTGAGTCCTCTGCTATATGCGTTTGTAATCGATCCCTTCATTCGGAGGTTAGAGAGCGGACCGTTGTGTGGAGTTCCTTTGGGCATTCCTGGGGAGCCCCCTCTGAGGGTCGTGGCCTATGCTGATGACGTGTCTGTTTTCATCTCCGGGACGCAGGAGGCGCAGAGGAGGTGGTCTCGGTGATGGAACAGTATGCTGAGGCATCTGGCTCAAAGATCAATCAGGATAAGAGTGAGGTTTTCTGGATGGGAGAGGAAGGCGAAGGCTTTACCCTTCCGGACGCCTTCCCAGAGCCCCAGCAGGAAATTAAAGTATTAGGCATCAGATTTGGTCCCGGTGATTACGGCCTTGCAAATTGGGTAAGCAGGCTACAAGATGCCGATGCCAAGGTGGCCAGCTGGAAGGATTGGAAACTCTCTTACAGGGAAAGGATTGACCTGATTAAAACTTACCTGATCCCGGTATTTCTGTATGTCAGCTTTGTCTGTGTTTTGCCAGTGTCTCTCTATGCGAGGATCTACAGTTGTTTCTTCCAGCTGTTATGGGGGCACAAACTGAACCTCATTAAGAGGTCTGTAACCTACCTTCCCAGGCGGATGGGTGGCCTAGGTATGGTCAACCCGGTGGTTTTTTTCTTTTTCTCTGATGTTTTTGAAACATAATTTTGGTAGCATGCTGGCAGAGGAACCGCCTGGGTGGGTTGGTATTTTTCAGTCCTGGTTTAGGCCTTTTCTACGGAGCTGGGAGAATGGTGGGCCAGTGAAAAGCCTGAGGGTCCAACATGGTAAGCTCCCGGCTTATGTTGCCCCGTGTCTGAAAATGCTTCGGCAATGGCGAGTGACGGCGAGGAAATTAAATCTCTTCCTAGGAAGGCCCTGGAGAGGAGGGTTGTTGAATCTGCCTTTAGCGAGCCATTGGCCTTGAGGGATTGCCCAGGCCCGGTTATGAGGGAGGGTCTGCGTTTGATGAATCTGGAGAGAATCCCTTTAAAGTTTCGGGATTTGGCCTGGCTCTCGTTCCATGGCAGACTCTATGTGAAGGGCAACCTGAAGCATCGCTCTGCGGAGAACCGTGGTTGTCCAAGAGTGGAGTGTGGTGGGGTGGAGGAGACGATGGACCATTTCTTGCTTCAGTGCCCCTTCAATATAGAAGTCTACAAGCGGGTGGGTGGGGCTCTGGGGATCCCTTTCCTTTCCCGCTTGAGTTACGCGGAGTGGTCTTACGGTGCCTTTCAGACTCACCGGGATTTTGATTTTGAGACACTTTTTCTAGTTAGCTTAGTAGTCCGTTACTACACGTGGAATGCACGGTGTCAGGTTTCCATTCGCAAAAAAGTCCTTCCTGTCGAGGTGGTGGTGAACAACATTCTGGGTGAGGTTGGGAAGATTCGGGGTCTTGAGAAGGACAGGTGGCGGCCGGGAGCCTGGACAAAGGCGTGGAGGAATGTCAGGTCCCCGTAGCTGCTGTCTGTCAGTCTCTGGGGGCGTGGCTTCTTTCTGTCCTTTCACGTCCCCTAGATTTTGTAACATCAGATTTTTGAAGAAAGGCTGCATGCATGAGATCGATGTATGGGATGAATGTATGTATGGGATCTAATCGTTTCTGGAGGGGGTGTTTAGGTGACGGTCAATTTATGGGAAGTCAATGTATGGGTTTGAAAATTAATCGTTTTTTAGCCTGTAGGGGGTGTTTAGGTGACGGTCAGGATGTTATTTTGCTGAAGTTTGCAAGATTTTTTATAAAATAAAAATTTTTATTCTGTATCATATCATGTAAATATGATTTTTATCTCTGACATAATTTGTTTGCAGAGAACACTGAGCCGGTTTAATAAACCAAAGGAGCTTACACTCTAATATGCCTACCACAGTCACACACTATTATTATAATACATTTATATAGCTCTCTATTCCATAGCGCTGTACAGAGAAAATCAAGCCAATCACATCAGTCTTTGCACCAGAGAAGCTTACACTTCAATGTCCTGACCAGAGTCTTCCACTGTGATCAGCAGCCTAACCAACTGAAATTGAAATTTTCGTTTTATTTTTCCTCCCTTTCTGAGCTCGGTGCGGTCCCATCAGAGTTCCCTTCTCCTTAATCGCTGTAATTAATTGATATCTGCAGACAAACCTGCTCAGGTCTCAGTGGATTCTGGGAAATGAGCGATATTTGGAAAGACTTTTGTACTCCCTGTAGAAGGCCCAGAAACCTAAAATATTCTCCAGTACATTCATTTACTCCCTTTTAGGCTTTGCAGTGCATGGCATGTACGATGAATTCCTGTGAGTTCATTTTCTGTTGGCAAACGTTTTTTATTTTCACACCAATGTTACAAATGTAGCAGGTATTACTGTATGTACGGAAAACGGATGGTTAGAGCTCGCTGTCTCCTCCACATATGTTGTGCTTTTAAGGTTCAAGAGAATGGTCGTACCTAATTGTACTGTTAAATGATGATGCATCTTTGCACTCGCTCAGTGCTTTTATGGAAATTTGTCAGGTGCACATGCACAGGTAAACGGCAATGTAAGGAAGCATTTACATTGACTATTGTAACTCCCTCCTCATTGGCCGATCTCATCGCAGGCTATCCCCTCTTCAGTGTATCATGATTGCTGCTGCCAGACTCATCCACCTTACTAATAGTTCTGTATCTTCCACCCCTCTCTGCCAATCCCTCCACTGGTCTCCATTCAGAGTCCTCCACCCCTCTCTGCCAATCCCTCCACTGGCCTCCACTCAGTGTCCACCATCCCTCTCTGCCAATCCCTCCACTGGTCTCCATTCAGTGTCCTCCACCCCTCTCTGCCAATCCCTCCACTGGTCTCCATTCAGTGTCCTCCATCCCTCTCTGCCAATCCCTCCACTGGTCTCCATTCAGTGTCTTCCACTCCTCTCTGCCAATCCCTCCACTGGCCTCCACTCGGTGTCCTCCACCCTCTCTGCCAATCCCTCCACTGGTCTCCATTCAGTGTCCTCCACCCCTCTCTGCCAATCCCTCCACTGGTCTCCATTCAGTGTCCTCCACCCCTCTCTGCCAATCCCTCTCTACTGGTCTCCACTCAGTGTCCTCCATCCCTCTCTGCCAATCCCTCCTCTGGTCTCCATTCAGTGTCCTCCATCCCTCTCTGCCAATCCCTCCACTGGTCTCCACTCAGTGTCCTTCCCATCCCTCTCTGCCAATCCCTCCACTGGTTTCCATTCAGTGTCCTCCATCCCTCTCTGCCAATCCCTCCACTGACCTCCACTCAGTGTCCTCCACCCCTCTCTGCCAATCCCTCCACTGGCCTCCACTCAGTGTCCTCCACCCCTCTCTGCCAATCCCTCCACTAGCCTACACTCAGTGTCCTCCATCCCTCTCTGCCAATCCCTCCACTGGCCTCCACTAAGTGCCCTCCATCCCTCTCTGCCAATCCCTCCACTGGCCTCCACTCATTGTCCTCCATCCCTCTCTACCGATTACTCCACTGGCCTCCACTCATTATTCTCCATCCCTCTCTGCCAATCCCTCCACTGGCCTCCACTCATTGTCCTCCATCCCTCTCTACCGATTACTCCACTGGCCTCCACTCATTATTCTCCATCCCTCTCTGCCAATCCCTCCACTGGCCTCCACTCATTATCCTCCATCCCTCTCTGCCAATCCTTCCACTGTCCTCCATCCTTCTCTGCCAATCCCTCCACTGACCTCCACTCAGTGTCCTCCATCCTTCTCTGCCAATCCCTCCACTGTCCTCCATCCTTCTCTGCCAATCCCTCCACTGACCTCCACTCAGTGTCCTCCATCCCTCTCTGCCAATCCCTCCACTGGCCTCCTCTCATTGTCCTCCATCCCTCTCCGCCAATCCCTCCACTGACCTCCACTCAGTGTCCTCCACCCCTCTCTGCCAATCCCTCCACTGGCCTCCACTCAGTGTCCTCCATCCCTCTCTGCCAATCCCTCCACTGGCTTCCCATTGTTGCCCAACGAATAAAATTCAAAACAATAACATATAAAGCCATTTATAACTCTGCGCCAAATTACATCACCAATCTTGTCTCCAAATATCACTCTAACCGTCCTCTCCGCTCCTCCCACGACTTCCTGCTCTCTAGCTCCCTTGTCTCCTCCTCCCATGTTCATCTCCAGGACTTCTCCAGAGCTTCCCCCATCCTCTGGAACTCTCTACCCCAATCTATCCGACTATCACCTACTCTGACCACTTTTAGACAATCTCTGAAAATCTATCTGTTCAGGGAAACCTATCCAGCTAATAATGGAATCTTCTATTCCTCCTACCAGTCCCTCCCCCACAACTATTACCTTTTGTACCACTAGCCCCTCCCTCCTAGATTGTAAGCTCCCAGGATCAGGGCCCTCCTATCCCTCTTGTATTGAACTGTATTGTTGCTGTATTGTCTCCCGTTATATTGTAAAGCGCTGAGCAAACTATTGGGGCCATATAAATTCTGTATAATAATAATAATAATTTACAACAGTACGGACATGTAAGCCATTGACTTAATTAGCAGGCTGTATGCTGCACATGCAGCTCTCATGGGTGCAGGGAAGTGTGAGGAGATATAGGCTAGACTTAAAAAAAATATTTTAGTCTATATGAATGAAACCTTTAGACCTGTTTCACACAAACTTCAACTTATATAGTGTGAACAGCAAGCTTTGCTGAACTTATTTAAGTACCAATCAACTCCAATTTGTAAACGTTGAACACAGCTTCTAATCGAAGTGCTGATTACCACTTCTTGAGGCTGCTAGCAGGCTTTCAACAAGCTTCAAGAAGTGCTGAAGCCTGCTAGCAGCTTTTCTAAAGAGGAAAACAGAACTCCTATTAGAATAATAACAATATCTATCTATCTATCTATCTATATCTATCTATCTATCTATCTATCTATCTATCTATCTATCTTCTAGATTAGATTATGGATAGATAGCTAGATAGATAGATGATAGATGGATGGATGGATGGATAGATAGATAGATAGATATTGTATCTATTTAATGCCTTAAACAAATACCTGGTTTGTAGCACAGAAATGTATCCATAGAATGATATTTGCTGACACTGAGTAGTTTTTGTACACATAATATTATTGTAGCGGTTGTGGTTTTTGGAAAATGATGAATCCATTCTGGGGTTGGTTAAGCTCTGCAACCTGTTTAGATACAAGCTAGTGCTTGGGAGAACTCTTTACTTTCTGTATCTCCAGGACGGGAATTGTATCTTATAATTCCAGGGAAGGTCTATGTAGAGGTTGTATCTGCACGTTGGCGCCGTGTATGGAAAGGTCTCTACGGATGCCTCCGATATGTGCGGAAATATTCCTGTTTATACGGATCTGGTAGGTTGTTGGTGGAGGTGTCCTTGGTCAGACCACACTTCTTTCACATAAACAAGGGGAAGAAATGGAGAACATCACTGCCAAGGTCTTTGAGGAATGAGATCTTCCTGCTATGTAGATGACAGCAGACCACACAACCAGCTGATGTTTATACAGCAAAGACGACCGTGAAGGCCGAGCTGAGATATTATATTACAAAAAGAATTCATTTTTTAAAGGAGCAAATTAGGCAAAATGGAAAATCTGGAGAGAACATACGCGTTGTGACGCTGCATCTCCTCTGCAGAACAGTACAAAATGGGCTGTATAGTAGCTGCGGTGCCTCTTGTATTTATCCTCCCCACCTCTCTTAATCAGCCCACATAAACTACTGTATAGGAGATGCACATATGGATTTTAAGGCAGTTTCAGTGGTTCATACCTCACAAGCAGGGACGGAATGACCAATTGGAAACTCGGGCACTGCCCAAGGGCCCGGGGTCAGTAGGGGGCCCCATGAGTGGCCCCTGTTACCATTTTCATAGGCTTTTTTGAGTTTGGGCAAGGACACAGGGGCCCCATGATCCCCTATTGCCTGGGGGCCCCATGAGTTGTCAGTCCACCCCTGCTCACAAGCCACCCATTTCTGCCCCAAAAAGATAATTTTTGTAGAGGAGATACGTTAATGGTGATATAATTCCAATATAAATATAAATAATGTAATTATAATTATGGGCAGCACAGTGGCTAAATGGTTAGCACTTCCGCCTGGCAGTACTCGGGTCGTTGGTTCGAATCCCAACCACGGGACCACCTGCCTGGAGTTTCCATGTTCTCCCTGTGACTGTGTGGCTTTCCTCTGGGTACTTCGGTTTCCTCCCACACTCCAAAGACATGCTGGTAGGTGAATTGGCTCCTGTCTAAATTGTCCCTAGTATTTGTATGTATGAATGTGAGTTAGGGACCTTAGATTGTACACTCCTTGAGGGTTAGGGCCCTTAGATTGTACGCCCCTTGAGGGTTAGGGACCTTAGATTGTACGCCCCTTGAGGGTTAGGGACCTTAGATTGTATGCCCCTTGAGGGTTAGGGACCTTAGATTGTACACTCCTTGAGGGTTAGGGCCCTTAGATTGTACGCCCCTTGAGGGTTAGGGACCTTAGATTGTACGCCCCTTGAGGGTTAGGGCCCTTAGATTGTATGCCCCTTGAGGGTTAGGGACCTTAGATTGTACGCCCCTTGAGGGTTAGGGACCTTAGATTGTACGCGCCTTGAGGGTTAGGGACCTTAGATTGTACGCCCCTTGAGGGTTAGGGACCTTAGATTGTACACTCCTTGAGGGTTAGGGCCCTTAGATTGTACGCCCCTTGAGGGTTAGGGACCTTAGATTGTACGCCCCTTGAGGGTTAGGGACCTTAGATTGTACGCCCCTTGAGGGTTAGGGCCCTTAGATTGTACGCCCCTTGAGGGTTAGGGACCTTAGATTGTACGCCCCTTGAGGGTTAGGGACCTTAGATTGTACGCCCCTTGAGGGTTAGGGACCTTAGATTGTACGCCCCTTGAGGGTTAGGGACCTTAGATTGTACACCCCTTGAGGGTTAGGGACCTTAGATTGTACACCCCTTGAGGGTTAGTGACCTTAGATTGTACGCCCCTTGAGGGTTAGGGACCTTAGATTGTAAGCCCCATGAGGGTTAGGGACCTTAGATTGTACGCCCCTTGAGGGTTAGGGACCTTAGATTGTACGCCCCTTGAGGGTTAGGGACCTTAGATTGTACGCCCCTTGAGGGTTAGGGACCTTAGATTGTACGCCCCTTGAGGGTTAGGGACTGATGTGAATGTACAATATATATGTAAAAGTGAGCTGCATACATTGATGGTGCTATATAAGTACCTAAAATAAATTATAAAGCCAGGAGACACTTTTATGGTGTCTTATTGTTTGAGACTGGGGAGACATTTTGATCCACTATATACTAAGGACTAATAAGGACACCATTTTTGTATTATCTTTTTGATTATATTGAGTTTTCTCTTATTTCACCACAACTCTGGTGGGAGTAAGTGCTATATATATATATACAAGGTCATATCAAAACGTTTTGAGACTAGTTTTCTAACACTCCAACAGACAGCAGCGCAAGGCTGCACACACAGTCACAGGGAGCACCGACCTTCATAAGTCTGTGTGCCAAAAGACATCATCCTGTGCAACTGGGGCTATTCTGACCACGTGCACTACCACATCTGCTATTTCACCCATGGACAGCAAGTTAGAACAAAAATTAGAAGTGAAATTTTGCGTCAAATCCGTACACACAAGTGCCGACTGTCGAATGGTTTCGACATTTTCGGGGGTCGAGCTTGTTGAAGGTGTTCCTGATCTCTCATTGTCTTCCAGTGACGTTCTTCTGCTCTTGAAGTACGCGTGCCACTAAAAACACCTTGAACGACTCATTGCAGCTTCGCTCTAAACTTGCTGAATCATGGCAAATGTCTCTGTGCAGATTTGTACAGTTTCACGTAGAATTTCAAGTTTGCCGTTTGCTCTAACTTACTATCCACGATGAAATAGCAGCACATGGTCAGAATAGCATCGGTTGCACAGCTCCCGATGTGCACAAGATGATGTCTTTTGTCACACTGACTTATGAAGATAGGTGCTCTCTGTGACTGTGCATGCAGCCTTGTGCTGCCATCTGTTGGCATGTTGCAAAACTAGTCTCTAAACATGGGGATAAGGTGCTTTTAGGGGGGATCCTCCCTGCCCAAAAGACCCCCCCATGTTGAGGGTATGTGGCCTGGTATGTTTAAGGAGGGGGGTGCTCGCTCGTCCCCCCTTTCCTGACCTGCTGGGCTGCATGCTCGGGTAAGGATCTGGTATGCATTTTTTGGGGGGGACCCCATATCATTTTTTTTTTTTTTAATTTTGGTGTGGGGGTTCCCCTCAAAATTTGTACCAGACCCAAAGGGCTTAGTATGGATGAGACGGGGGACCCCACAGTGTTTTTATAATTTTTCAATAGTCAGGCAATGGAGACAATTCTTTTGACATTCAGCTGTCAGTGGGGAACCCCGCTGACAGCTGAAACATTAAAGAATGCCTTCACTACTAAACAGGGGCGGACTAAGAACTCATGGGGCCCCTGGGCAATAGCTGATCATGGGGCCCCTGTGTCCTTGCCCAAAACTCAAAAAAGGATATGAAAAAGGTACCAGGGGCATCTCATGGGGCCCCCTACTGACCCCGGGCCCTCGGGCAGTGCCCGAATTTCCAAATGGTCAGTCCGCCCCTGGAAAGGGCTCTTCCTAACCCCTTCACGCCTGAGGGTAAAACAAATCTAAATGCCTAAGCACAATTTTGCAACGTTGACATGTGTTAGTAAAACCGTACAGATCATCACAACTACTTTGTACATCCAGGTGAACTATAACACGTTTTTTTTTTTTCAGGACAAACTGGGCTTTCATTTGGTGGTAAATGATAATGGATATCTCCTGATTTTTTTTTTTTATTATCAAAGGAAAACTGGCCCAAAATAGTAAAAAAAAAATATTTTTTTTATTTAGCTGTGTGTTTCTTGTTACTACTATAACCTACCACCAAAAAACAACCCAAAATAA